ACACTTCTTCACCATCTTATCTGCTTTGGAATGCCAGATGCCTCAATCAGGTACTGATTGCCTTTGAACAAATTGCGAGCCTGCAAGAATCCTGCACTGTTTTGCTTGTTACGCACCGTTCATGGTGAGCCCACCACCAGCCACTTAAAGTGCCTCAAATGGTAAAAGGATGGAATGACAGTCCATGATAATTCTTGTAAGAGATTTACATGGAGTGGAGACAGGAAGGTGGCAAGGTGCCCACGAACTACATTCCGATTTGATTAATTGTCCATCTACCTTCAAACACACCACAGGAAAGGGTACCATATTCCACCCAGTGCGTTTAGGAAGGTCAAGATCCTAGACACTTAGTAGGGATTGTCTGTTAAGGGTTCATCATTCACTGAGGTGAAATAACGATATGAACACCCATGAGTCCACTTTATATTTTATAGAAAAGGTGGCACATGGCAATTTGCAACAAATTTGTACTGTGCATCTGCATTCTCATTTAAGTAAGATGATTCAACAGCAACTTGAAATTCTATCGGAACTTTAATGCAGAAAAGTATTTAATATGGGGATATCCTAAGTGAGTCTAAACATAACTATTATTCCCTGGCATTCGCTTCAAAAACAAAATTGTAGAACATGTTGATTCATTTCATAATTATGCAGTTTGGGTCACATTGCAATATATACAGTGTGACCCAAACAGTCTGCAGTGACTCAAGAAGGCAGCTTACTACCACCCTGTCAAAGGGCAACTACAGATGAGCAATAAATGCTGGACCAGTCAGTAATGCCCACATCTGTGAAGTAATTTCATAAAATCCAATTGTTCATAATCGGACAATATTGGGATGGATGGAAGATGTTCAGACCACTTACATAATCTACCAAGACCACTTTATTTAAGAACTATCTTAGAAATATCGAAAATAAAAAGCATCTTTGGTGATGCATTCTTCGTCAAAGCTCAAAGTTCTCCCACTCTACTGAATACTTTAACAAACAATCTTACTAAATTAATGGGGAATTTAACAACGGTATTTTACAGTCTTAAATGCTGGAATATGAACTAGAACAACACTTCAGGTTGTAGACATGCTCACCGAGCTGGTGGGTTTGGTTGCAAACGTTTCGTCACTCTGCTAGGTAACATCGTCAGTGTGCCTCCAGTTAGACATCAGTATTCTGTCCGGCTTGTTAGTTATATGTCTCAGTTTGCCGGGGTGGTTGGCATTACCCAAACTTTGGGTCCAATATGTAGATGATATCTTTGTGATTATTAAACGCACAAAACTAGAAGAAACCCACCGACAGATAAACAATGCCCTTACTCGGATAAAATTCACGAAAGAAGAAGAGAACAACTGACTGCCCTTCCTGGATATAATGGTAGAATGCAAAAACAACGGGGAACTCCAGACTAGCGTACATAGAAAAACCACACATATAGACCAGATACTGAATTCCACTCGCAACCACCCCAACGCCCACAAACGGAGCTGCATCAGGACACTATTTAAACGAGCCACAACACATTGCAGCAACCCGGAACTGTGCAAAGCAGAACCGGAATTCTTATATGGAGTCTTCGAAAGAAATGGATACCCGAAAAGCACAATCCGCCATCACCTCCGAGACAGATCACAACAGGAAGACACAACACGACCAGACTCACTAATCACCCCACCATACATCAAGGACATTTCAGAGATGACCATGAGACTACTCAGACACTAGGTATCAGAGTAGCCCACAAACCAACAGGATCCCATACCCAAAATCAGCAAAACTGGGGTAATATACAAAATACCATATAAGGACTGTGAGAAACACTTATAGGCCAAACCAGAAGAAAACTGACTATATGGATACATGAATACCAACCAGCTACCAACAGACATGACAAATTCTCACTTGTCTCACTACACACGGACAATGAGGGACACGAATTTGACTGGGACAACACATCCATAATCGTTCAAGCCAAACAGAGACGCCAGGGAATTCCTGGAGAACTGGTATTCCAACCGGAACTCCATCAACACATTAAATTAGACGCTGTGTACAAACCACTGAGAAACAAAACCAGAAATAATACCAACCATCCCAGCAAACGGAGGCATATAAATAACAAGCGCGACAGAACACTGACACTTCAACGGAGATGCACTGACAATGTTACCCAGCAGGTGGTGAAACGTTTGCAACCAAACCCACTGGCTCGGCGAGCATGTCTACAACCTCATCCACAACCCAAGCTACAAATCTTCTCGAAAACTTGAGAACAATACTTATCAGGCTTGGATTCTCAACATAGATTGCAATATGGAAGGGAAACAGTTGACAGAATCCAAACAAACAAAAGCACAATTTGCAGAATTCTCACAATGCACAAATTCCTACCCAAATCTGAAAACTCATTGTTGCGTAAAATGCAAAGGAAACATGATTGAACTGCAAGTTGAAAAGAACATAAGGCTTTACACCCAAATCAGAAGCTACATATATTTGCTTATTTGCACATATTCGCGTAGGAGCACCTACGTTCGCGACAAATGACAACACCTCCCAGTCACAAACCACTTCAACTCCCCCTCCCACTCCCTGGACGACATGTCCATCCTGGGCCTCCTCCAGTGTCACAATGATGCCACCCGAAAACTGGAGGAACAGCACATCATATTCCGCCGTGGAACCTTACAACCCAATGGTCTCAATGTGGACTTTACAAGCTTCAAAATCTCCCCACCCCGACCTCATCCCAAAACCAACCCTCCCTCTCATCCCCGCCTCCTTGACCTATCCGTCTTCTCTCCCACCTATCCGCTCCTCCCACCTCACTGACCAACCCCCTTCTCAACTCCCTACCTACACTCACTTTTATTAGCTTCATCCCCCGCCTCCTTGACCTGTCCGTCGTCTCTCCACCTATCTGCTCTACTATCCACCTTCTATCACCGCCTCCCTCTCTCTCTCTATTTATTTCAGAGCCCCCTTCCCCTCCCCCATTTCTGAAGAAGGGTCCAGACCCGAAACATCAGCTTTCCTGCTCCTCTGATGCTGCCTGGTCTGCTGTGTTCATCCAGCTCCACACATTGTTATCTCAGACTCCAGCATCGGCAGTTCCTACTATATCTAGATTTGCTTCTGGTGGGTCAGGAATCTCAAGAAGTACTCATGACTGATAACTAAAGTACAGTACTTACCTAATCTTTTCCATGTATTCCAATGTGTTCTGATTCATCATATTGGAAGGACTGATGTGCAATTTAAAGTCTGGCCCGAAATATTCAAAGTAGTCATTGTACGGTAATTCTAAGTTCATAAAATAAGCAATGTAAACTAGAGATCAAGATAATATCAAAACATTGGCAAAATATCAGTGTTAGTCCATGCTATTTTTATATAAATAGCTTATCAAAAGAGAAAGAATGACTCTCAAACTCAAGATTAAACAGGCTGACTAGGCAACATAACACCTCTTACAACCTGCCATCAGGCAAGAAGGTCACTTAAAAATCCACAAAATAATCAGCAGATACTCCATAATAGGTTATGTTGAAAAAGTGGAACTTCACGCTATATGGAGTGTTTGGTCTATTTAGAGGATGGAAGTTAAATAAACGAGGGAGTAAGAAATAGTGGCAATATGTTAAAGGGTGAGGTTCAGTAAATAAAATGAGACAAAATATTTGTGAAGTGTTAAAAAAGGCAAAGACCAATTGGGGAAAACAGTCTGTCCTGCATTACACATTCAACACAATACTGGTACCCTAGTCAGATATATCTGCATGTGGTGTTGACTTGCTCGCCCAGCTGGCTTGTTTTTGTTCAGACGTTTCGTCACCATGCTAGGTGGCATCATCAGTGGAGTGAGGACACGTGGCCACGGTAGGTCCGGAGACTGATTCTTGGCAGTGATGGTGAAGCGGCAGCAGCAGGGGTGGGGTCTCCTGGGGCATTGGCATCGTCATTGCTGTTCCCGGAGCGGGACTCCTTGAGAACCAGAACAACTTGCAAAAGCCCTGAAGCTGTGCTGGAGACCCCAGTTCGAACAGAAGATGAACTCTTAGTTAAGTAATTTCTTTTTATCCTTATTGTAGCTTAAAATGGAACCAGATTGTGGTAACAAAACACTTTTCACTATATCTTCAAGATATGTGACAATAAATAAAACTTCACACATATATGCTTTTTCAAAAAAGCTGAACTCAGAAGCATGATTACTAGTTTGTTTGTGATATTCTACAGTACACTCTGAGATTTAACTGATTTGACAAGAGACTCCTGTGCAAGTTTGTGACATGACATCAGGGAAACTTCCAGAAAAATAACTGACTGAAAATGGGCATTTGTGTCATTTCTGTCAGGGTTCTATGAATTAACTGAAGTTAGAGTCAGGAATAGTAAGAACTCAACTGACATTCAAGCCCTGATTAATGGCTAGGAATTTTATCTCATCCATTTGACTTACTTTCATTTTATTGTGTCCAGGTGCTGTATTCTGATTTAACTAGCTGTATCTACAGGATGTACAATTCTTACAAACAGAAACAACATCAGTTATTTTACATGTCAAAATATGGAATCATTCAACAGAAACTCATCTGTATTCTTCAATGCTGTTGGCTCTAAGTAAAGAACTACTAGAACTAATTTGTGTCATATAATTACCATTTGGAATCTCTGTATCTAATGCTACAGCGGTCTCATATGTCCAGCAGCGAGCAACATTGCGGATTGTGTACCCTCCACCTCCTAGCATCAGTAAAGGCAAGTTGAAGGTCTTCATAAATTCCACACATTTAGCATGACCTTTGCAACAAACAAGAAGAACTTATTACAGTGCCAGCTTTAAACTATCAAAATGCATTATATTTTTCAAAAACATTACATTTCACTATGACACATGGTGTTAAACCTGTTTGTACCTTTTAATGTGAGATTGAAACATCCAAGTCTGTCCCCTGATAAAGAATCAGCTCCACACTGTAGTACAACTGCACTGGGTTGGTACATTTCCATTACCTTTGTCAAAATCTGCATTAAAAAATGAAACATAGGCTAGATGACCTTATTTGTTTTGATAAAACTGCAATGAGTGATTTAATAAAACTGGCAACACATCATACTAAATTTTTAAACTTTTTTCAAAGTGTTGTGCAATCACTTAACAGTTGCGTTTAAGTAATTACTATGCAAGGAAAGGAAAATTCAGAATACTTACTGGTTTGAATATCTGTTCATAAGACTCATCATCAATTCCATCTCGGAGTGGAAAGTTAACAGCGTAATATTTGCCTTTACCTGCACCTATGTCCTACAGGTACAAAATAATGAAAATATGAATTCAGAGACAATTTTGAGGCACAAACATTAATTTTTGGTGCAAAGAAAATTTAGACCATACGACTGTTTTCAGATACGTTTGTCTCTTTAGCGTGTCACTTAATTTTGCCTTCAAGTTGCAACCTGCATTACAAATTTTATCACTGGATCATAGGAATCCCAATAGCTTATTGTTAAATTTTATACTAATGAATTTGGCTAATCTTGGTGTGCTGTTTAACCTGTCAGCCAAATACTTTCTTTCATACAGTTGTAGCCATTGACAAATAACAGTATTACATAAGCACAACATATCAGAATGACATCTTTCAGATTTCAATTGCAAAATCAAAACCTTTCCAAATTGCAAGGATGCAAATACTCTCAAATAGCTGAGTATCTTCATTGTTAGAAAGGGAAAACAGTACCAGCTGCTATACTGTTTCACCATCTGGCAGAATATATTACTACAACGTAATCTGCTGGGCCATCATGGCTGCAGATTGCAACAGAATCAAAGACGCCTGGTCAGTATTACAAATCAAGGCAAAAGTGAAGGGAAAAGACACTCTATTATACAAACCACAGCTAAAAGCGTGGCACAATTTATATCATACTTAGTGTGGCATTAAGTAGAATGAAATAAAAACTGCTGAACTGCTTCCTTGAGGAATTATCTATTAACTTGTCACTTCGTTGGAACCTGGTCAATAATTAATATCGACGTGCAAAGATCAGAACCAACCAAATCAGACTACGAAAAACAAAGGTTCTGAATAACTTACTGAGGTTTCATTGTTCAATATTATTGTTTAGACCAAAAAAACCTGCCATTTTCTACAAATTAACACCACGTTTGAAAGGCAGGCAACGTCATTAATCACGTTATAAGGCTGTAAGCAAACAATATCACCACACTGACAAATATAATCTACTAAGATGCAATTTCTAACCATTCACAATGTTTCATACTTTTCAGAAGGCCACTTCTGCGCATTTGTTAGTCTTGTGTTCTTAAAATGACTTAAGTTCAAAGCTGAAGCTTGTATTTATGAACATTTTCACACTGAAACAAATACTCACTCGAAGATCACCTGTGCCGGGGAAATATTCACCATATTTATGGAATGAAACAGTCATGACACGGTCTGTTGTGTAAAAAGCTTCTTCGACACCATCTCCATGGTGAATGTCAATATCAATATACAAAACTCTTTGATGATATCTGTGGAAATATAACATATTCACTTTTAGTCTATGCTTCCTGCAAACATAGTGTTCCATGTGAGCACAATCATCCTTTTCAATTAAAGCCAAATGTCAGGCAGTTAGGAGGGAACATAATAATATGGTTTTATTTTATCTATATGAATGTTCTGCACTCCTGTTTAATATTTTAAAACAATTTGTACTGTGCAAATATGTACTTGATGTAGAATTTCCCTCAGCAGTAACAGATCAGCCATTTGTTATATAGGCCAATTTGTAAAATGCAAAAAGAAGAAAGTGAGGTGCATTTAAATTAGGAGTAAACAGAAGCAGCCAAAAGTGAAAAGGCAAGCACAAAGGATAATGAGATTTAATGAGAATCATAATACATATAGAAATAACATAGCAAAAACAATAGCATATAAAATAAATAAAATGAGCTGAAAGCATAACATCAGATCATAATTAACAGTGTTATGAAGTGGGAAATGACTGAAATAAAGGAAAGAAGTGCAAAATTCGGCAAAGGGAAAAAGAGCAGTGTTAGATATGAAAAATAAAAAGATGAAGTGCATGTACTATAAAGTGAGAAACAAACTAAAAGGAATTAAATTTAATGGCACAACAGAAAGTTCGACTAAAATCTTCATACAGACAGAAGGGCTCCATGTCTTAGACAAGATGGCTCCAAAGGCCAGGACCTGGATCGAACTCAGCACTAAATTTAAAAAAAAAACACTTTTATTGGAGTGCAGTTTGTTTCCCACTGTGTGAGACTTACAACTTATCGAATATGAAACATGTACAAGGTCTTTGGAACTGCTGAACTGAAAGTTACTAAAATAGATCTTTTTCTTCACTTTTTTTGGGACATGGACATCACTAGGACAGCACACGTTGTTCATCTCTATCTGATCTGAGCGGTTTACCATTCTAAATCGGAGTGCAGTTAAGAGTCAACCATACTGTTGTGGGTCTGGAGTCACAGGTAGACCAGACCAGGTAAGGACAGCAGCTGTCCTTTACTAAATGACATTAGCAATGCATTGATCATCATAATCAATGGTAGTTTTATGGTCACAATTACTGAGGCAAGCTTTCAATTCCAAATTTATTAATTGCACTTAACTTCCACAACCTGCCATAGCAAATGTGAACCCAAGATTCCAGAGCTTGGGCCTCAGGGTTATTAGTCCAATAACATTACCATAACACCACCATCATTCCTTGAATTGATTTATATTTAAATGTTCTACTCCCTTCTTCAAGGTGGAGTCCAGGGTGGACTCCCTGCTTTAGAACTTTAGGACTATAATGCTGAACTTTACTTTTATTTCTTCACTTTTCTAATTTATACCTAAGATTTTGTACCTAGGTATCTTTGTATCTAAGATGGCACCGGAAATGGCAATTTGTACATTTTTTGCTGCACTCATGTATCCCTGTACTTGAGTACATACAACAACAAGCCTAATTCTAACTGTATTATATTTTTAAAATTTTGGAGAATACAGCCTACTGTTACTCCAAGTTGAAAAGAAATCCTTCTTGCAATATTAATGGCTGTTTGCTATCATAGGCCTGAAACATGGTATTATAATCACAATATTTGTACTGCTTCCAGAACCTATCATTGTCCTAAATGGGAAGAGGCTGTAATTTCACAATTTGATTGACAGCTCCAAGTGGATATAAAGGGTTTAGCTATTTTTGATATGGGTCTATATTGTTTGATTTTATAATAGATTATATATTTAAAGTCATTTCAATGCACTGAATGGGTGTTTTATTAATTAGTTCTTTCTTAAATATAGTGAATTTTTCAACAGTTACATGAACATAGCTTGGCATGGAGGCTATGAGGATCCATAGAGAAAGGCAGAGGGGTCAAATGTGATATGGAAGGAGCATGAGGAGCAAACGGTTGAGTGGGGTTAAAGGCTAAAGGGGCCTTACTGATTTGGTTACTCTAGATCAAAGTTTTAGAGCACTGAAGAGTCCCGCTAAACAGTCCACCTTGGTATGTGGCAGGACCTGTGGTAACCTCAAACTATTTCCCAAGGTGGCAGGCCTGACTCCAGTCCAAGACAGCCGGTGCAAAAATCCAGTGGGTCAGGGCAGTTCTCCCAAGTTGGGTATGCAGAGTGGAAAATTTCCCAACTCTGTGAATTTGATTCTGGAGCAAAAGTTCAGACATTTGCTGCAAACTCCAGAATGGAAAATAAATATGTTTTTACAACAGAAATGTTAAAACAAGTATGGTGATACTAATGAAAGAAGAAATAAAGAAAATGAACTTGCATTTATATAGTGCATTTCATGACCCCAAGATGTCCCAAAGTGCTTTACAGTCAATAAATTATATTGAACTATAATCACTGTTGTAACAGACGGAAATGTGTCAGCTAATTTGCAGACCACATATTTCACTAAAAGTAAAAAAAAAATCATTTGCTTTAGAAAATGAAGATAAAATGCTGAAAGTATTCCGTAGGTCCGGCAGCATCTGTGAAGACAGAAACAAAGTTAATTTTTCAGGTCAAATGTTAACTCTCTTTTTTGTTAGATTTTGCCAGACATCCTGAATATTTCCAACATTTCCTGGTTTTGTTTCAGAGTTTCACTATATACAATACAATGCTATTGTATCATCTGCTTTACATGTCAGTTCAAAGAAAATGATGTCAAGCCACAGGGGATCTCCGCTGCTCTTCTATAGATGGTAACATTCAACCTTTTATGGCCACATAAGAGGGCAGACTGATTTAACATTATCGTATATCTGAAAGACACATCTCTGACTCTGAAGCATTTCAATATCACAGTGATGTAAACTGAAAGGAGATTCAGTATCAATATGCTTACAAATAAATGAAGTTTTTAAACAAGTTAAACTGCATTGTGATCCCACTCACACCAACCTCAAATTGGTCGCAGGGATATGAAAAGAAAATATATAGATACATTGGCAAGAATAGGAACAAATTATCCTATGATTGATTACATGCTTAAAACAGAGGGCTTTAGCAAAGAAAAAGAATGAATTTTCTAAACTATATACACTATTTATTCTTCAAGTATTATATTCACCTGTGTCCGAGTAACAGGATTTACTAGCTCTATTTGTAAGTAACTGGATAGATCAGATTGGTCAATTACATGTGGGTAAACATCTAGTGAGTTGTCATAATCTAAAATAGTTAAAATGACAAAATGCAAAGGAAAAAAGGTAGTACTATTACAAGGGTACCAGATTGGAATCAGGCAAATTTTCCAAGTTGAATGAGTTAGTTGAGGTGAGACAGGAGGAGAAATTGATACGAGGGAATGTTGGTTATTCATAGGACAGTTATAAAAGGGACTGAAAAGCTGCAGAGTAAATACATACCATTAAAAAAGAAGACGACTTCAAGTTTCAGGGTGCTGTGAATAAATAAAGAGATTAGGAACAAACTAAAATTGAAGAGGGTATATGGGAACTACAGATATAAAAATGAGTGAATGTAAAAAGATAAAGAAAAATGTAAACAGAAGCACAAGAATAAAGAGAGATTATGAAAACAATCTCACAATATTGTAAAGTATACAAATAAATCAGTGAAAAGAGAATTGTTAAGTATGAGGTCAGGCCTGAGGAAAGCTATATAGAAATTGGTAAGTATATCCAACAGGCACTTTGCTTCCATATTCACCTAAGAAAGTGAACTACTTAAAAGTGAGAAGAGAAATATATTAACATAATAAGAACTGGAGATATTATTTAAGACAAAGGATCATCAAGACCTGGGATTGTGGGTATGGGTAATCAGGATAGAAAGACAGAGGCCCAGAAGTTATGTTGAGAAAATGGTAACATAACAACGTTACTGAAATAGTTATCCAGAGGCCCAGACTAATGCTTCAGAAACAAGTTTAAATTGCAACAGCTGGGAGAATTTAATAAATCAAATGATATGCTACTCTAATGACTAATGATCAGGAAACTACCAAATTGTCATTAAAACCTTTGGTTTACTTCTGTCCTTCAGGGGTGGAAACTCACTAACCTATAAATAACTTCAGACCCACAATAACGTGGTTGACTCTTAAATGTCCATTGAAATATCCTAACAAGCCACACGCTTGTACCAAAACGGCTGTTAACATTTATGCTCCCTCCAATTTTTTCTGCTGCTGCATGTATCTTCAAGGTATGTGCACAATGTCAACTCCCAGAACCAGAAGCAATGGGTCCACACACCACTGGGCATGCACAGACCTCCGAGATGCTGTGCAGCTGTGGGAATGTTGGTTAAAATTTCTGCAGGCATCAATAACTTACAAAAAGAAATGTAAATTTAGAGTTAATAGCAAAAAGGATGATATGAAAAATTTCACATTTGAAGACATTTACTGCAACAAAAACCTAAAAGCACTTTATTGGCATCTTATAGTTTAACCATAAAACAGAAATTTCCCTGGTTTTTGAACAAAAGCCTCTTCACATACATGACATTCAACTGCTTAATTGCAGAGTCTCTGATGAAGAATCTCACTGCCCATCTACATTCCCTTGCTTTGTTAATCCCTGACAGTTGATCTCAAGCCCTGCCTGCATGCCTTCACCAGATCCAAAGGCATATCTGCAGCATGACTAGCTGCAGAGTGACGTCGCAAACTGCAAGGTGAAGCAATAATGATGAAGAAGCCAGACCATCCGAAAAGGAACCAAAAAAAATGTACAATTTCCACAACAAGTAACTGAATTACTGTTCAGAGCCATAAAAGGCAAGTGTGTTTGGCTTAAATGTCACCAAAGCATATCGATAAGTAAAAACAGGAATTTGGAATGGCACCATATGATGATGCCCAATAAATTCATCCCTAGAAAAAAGAAGCATGGTACAGGGAGGATGAGGCAACCATGGCTGACTAAAGAAGTCAGGGATAGCATCAAAGCAAAAGAGAAAGCATATAATGTGGCGAAGGGCAGTGGGAAACCAGAGGACTGGGAAGTTTACAAAAACCAACAGAGGG